CCATGATCAACAGAACTAAAAGGTGTGGAACTATACATTTTAGATCTTGTCTGGGAACACAAACATAAAAATGATATACATAATAACATAATACACATGCAATATGCCATGATCAACATAACTAAAAGGTGTGGAACTATACATTTTAGATCTAGTCTGGGAACACAAACATAAAAAAGATATACAAAATAACATAATACACATGCTCTACAGCATGATCAACAAAACTAAAAGGTGTGGAACTATACATTTTAGATCTTGTCTGGGAACACAAACATAAAAACGATATACATAATAACATAATACACATGCAATATGCCATGATCAACAGAACTAAAAGGTGTGGAACTATACATTTTAGATCTAGTCTGGGAACACAAACAGCTGTTTTGAACACTTTTTCAAAATGAAAACTTTTATATTTATAGAAATCCATTAACACATTTTTCCAATCTCTATGACATCACTATTGATTCATTATATGATAAAAAGGAGAATAGAAGTTTCATAAAACCTTTAGATTTATTGAACTGATATTTCTAATAATTAAAAAATAAAAATGACCAAATAGAAACCAATAAGCAAGTAAATTAACAAGTAGAAATCAAGCATGTAAATGAACAAGTTAAAACCAAGCGTGTAAATGAACAAGTAGAAATCAAGCATGTAAATTAACAAGTAGAAATCAAGCCTGTAAATGAACAAGTAGAAATCAAGCCTGTAAATGAACAAGTAGAAACCAAGCGTGTAATTGAACAAGTAGAAATCAAGCATATAAATGCACAAGTTAAAACCAAGCAAGTAAATGAATGAGTAGAAATCAATCATGTAAATGAATAAGTAGAAACCAATAAGCAATTAAATGAACAACTTGAAAAAATAATCAATTAAATGAACAAGTAGAAACGATAAGCAATTAAATAAACAAGTTGAAACCAACAATCATGTAAGTTAAAATATTTGTCAAGCCTTACCTTTCTGGTTTGAGTGTCAGACCAGAAAATAAGACCTTTATTATAATGGAAATCTACAGCACTAGTTGCTGTAGTGTTAGCAATAATTTCTAGGTTTAAGCCTTGTGGATCAGATTTGTATATTTTACTGTGATGGGTGAACAGCAGCATCATTTGAGTACCTATGAAACAAATATTAAAGTTATACAACAATATTTAGTACTCCATAATGCTTTAACACTGCCACATATATGAAACAAATATTAAAGTTATACAACAATATTTAGTACTCCATAATGCTTTAACACTGCCACATATACATATTTATTAACACTAATGTTAATTTTTTTTTACTGCACATGTAAATTTTTAAAATTATAGAACATAACAAATGGTCATCTGATTTTCCTAAGGGGAAAAAATTCCATTTCTTCTATCTCGATCAAATAGTTAACAATCTACAAATAAGGCTCACAGAGTTAATTTAGTAAATTTTATTAATATAAGCTGTAATTATTATTGTCCCAATACTAAGGAGCATATGTTAGTTTTATAAAATCTTTTGTTAATACTTAAAGAAGCCATTACACAAACAATAAGTACTATTTTAATAAAAATAAGATAAAACTAAACTGTTCTCGGCACGGCAGTGTCTGGGAGGGACAAGTCTGTATCCAGCTGCACAAGTACACTCAAAGCTGCTATGAAGGTTCACACAGGTCTGATCACAGAACCCCCACTGGGAGCATTCATCAAAATCTAGAAGATGACAAATGTGTTTATAGTTTTCTGTATTATTAACATCCAATGATAAAATAAGAGCCATTACAATAGCATACAAAATAAGAGCCTTTACGAAAATACGAGAAATTAAGATACTTTACAATAGCATATAAAATAAGAGCCTTTACGAAAATACGAGAAATTAAGATACTTTACAATAGCATATAAAATAAGAGCCTTTACGAAAATACAAGAAATTAAGATACTTTACAATAGCATATAAAATAAGAGCCTTTACGAAAATACGAGAAATTAAGATACTTTACAATAGCATATAAAATAAGAGCCTTTACCAACGTATGAGAAATTAAGATACTTTACAATAGCATATAAAATAAGAGCCTTTACCAACGTATGAGAAATTAAGATACTTTACAATAGCATATAAAATAAGAGCCTTTACCAACGTATGAGAAATTAGAGACTACCTTAGTTTGCAAAAGAAGAAACATTTTCAAAATAACCAAATTAAAATACTTTTTATAAAAATCTCCTGCAAAAATAGTACATATGTGAAACTACTGGGAAATTGTCACTTCTATTCATATTATAAAACATACAAAACTCTAACATGTGCTTATTTGTTCTTCAGAATAAAAGATGGAAAATTCAAGTAATCTTAATGTATGCTTTTTCAAATTTATTTTAGCATTTAAAGTCAAGCATTTCTTATAAGGCTAAAAATTTCACAAAAACACAGTATTTTGTAATATTAACTTATATTTTACATTAACCAAAACAGTATTTATTGTTTCTCGTTGATATTACAGTTACTGATTACTTTAAAATAAATCATTATGTTTTCCATATTTATAGCTTTTGTGATGAATATTCAAAACTTAGTGCTATTTATGTAATATGAATTATGTTCGGTTAAATAAAATAGGTTAGGTTAGATAAAAACAAATTTTGTAATAGAAGTATCAGGTTTGGTGAAAGACTAGAGGGAAGGCAGCTTGTCACCACCCCTCACTGCTAACTCTTGGAATACTCTTTAATCAAGGAACAGAGGAACTGACGGTCACATTATAGTGCCCCCACGGCTGAAATGGTGAGCAGGTTTGGTGGGAAGTGGATTTGAACCTGCAAGTCGAGTGCCCTAACCAACTGGCCATGCCAGGTAGAAGTATCTGAATGTTTAACATGAAAATATCTAATAATAAATTATAACTTAGACAATAATTTTCTGTGATCAATAGTGAACTATATGTTAATTTAACAATGAAATAGACAAGTTTTACCTGTACAACTTCTGCTATCAGCTGGATTCACCTGCATTCCTGTTGCACAATAACATTTTCCACCATCCAGAGAAGCTTGACATTTATATTCACATGACAGAGACGAGCACAGGCTGGTTGCTATTGTGAATGTACAATAGATACACATTTAAAATATATTTAAAAGATCAAATTAAAATACTAAGTCAGAAAACATGCATACATTAGTATGATGGTTGATTT